CCTTTAAACGAAGGTCTTTGTTGAATATTCCAGATCCAGACTGATTAAATGTTCATTTTGTTCAACGTTCACCCCTGGTAAGGCCCTAAAAGACAATGAACAGGGAGACTGTCCCAGAGAACACAACTGGGGCTGCCAGATTGGCCAACCAAGGGTAGTATTCTAATACTAGGTAGGGGACCCCCGCTATTTCTATCCAGCATAGTATTTATCATGAAATAATGGCTGCTGGAGGTCTTTCCCATCACACCGTTTTTAATGAGACTTTTTTTAATTTAATTTATTGGTACATTCTAGGTAGACAGTACAGTTACATTCATTACTGGATCTTGTACCTTTACATGCCAGGTCTTGGTTCTCATTTAATGAGACTTTTCAACAGTTTTTACATTCTATCTTTTCTGCTTGTTATATTGGAACTTTTGGTCATAGGTGATATCTTTTTATTGTGGGTAAATCAAGGACAGGAATCAAATAATGGGACAGGAAGAGAAGAATTCTTTTTCTGTCTCTGGATATTGTGAGAAGTGGCAGGAACCAGCCTGGTACCTGAAAGGAAAGAGCCAAAAGACAAGTTTCTTGGACTGAGCCCATCAGTGTGAAGAAGTGGGCAGAATCTAAGTCCTCGATTTCATTAAGATGCTGTCAACACTTTTAATGCTTAGGGTAGGGTGAGACGGGGCATTGTGGGAACAGCATGAGAATCAGAGCCAGGGTTCAAACCCCAACCATGCTAATTTAATCTCTCTGAACCTCAGTTTTCCCAGTCTGTCAGACAATAAATAGTACCCTGCAGATTTTTATGAGTTAAATTATTTTGTATCTGGCTCAAGGTCAGACATCACAGAATGTTGGTTTCCTCTTTTCTTTCACTCTTTACTGCACTGCCCTGGGCCAGCGGGCATTGTGATGAACACACACACACACACACACACACACACACACACGCACACACACACACTACTCAAAACAGCACTCTCTGTCTGACTCACAAAATCTTTACTAGAAAAAAGTTTAAACTTTGCTTAAAACCATTTTGTCAGCCTAAGGCAATGTTGGCCTCAACACCTCAGCATCATAACTGCCCTGGATACTGGTTTTAAAATGCAGATTCCTGGGCTGCATCCCAGACCTTACTATGTGGAGAAAAAAGAAGATCCAAAGAAACTCCCCAGATGATTCTGATATGCAGTAAGATTTCAGAATAACTTGCCTAATGCTTTTCTTCTTAAGTGAAAACCTTCCCAGAATATTTCTACTCCTGACCCAGGGGGCTTGTTAGATCTTGGAACAACAATCCTACAGATCCTTGGAGAGCTATCTGGACTCCTCTAAAGATCCTTGGAGAGCTATCTGGACCTTCCCCCTTCCCCTCCCCCTCCCCTCCCCCCTCTTCTTCTCCCTCCTCCTCCTCCTCCTCCTCCCCTGCTCCACCTTTCTCCTTCCTCTTCTCCTCCTCCTCCTCTTTCTTCTTCTTTTTCTGGTACTGGTGATTGAATCCAAGTCCTTTACACCAAACTACATCCAATTATTAATTCCCCCTCCTCCTCCTCCTCCTGCTAAAAAGACTGAGGCCCTGAGAGAGGGAGTGGCTGAACCAGGGCCACATGGAGAGGCCATGGCAGAGCTAAAACGTGGGTGCAAGTGATTTGACTAAAAGCTAACATCTTTGCTGGGTGTAGTGGTGCACACCTGTATTCCAAGCACTCAGGAGACTGAGACAACAGGATTGCCATGAGTTCAAGGCCAGCCAAGACTACATAGTGAGTTCAAGGCCAGCCTGAACTACATAGAGAGCCATTGTCTCAAAAAACTAAAAACAAATTAAAATAAAATAAAAAATAAAAGCAAACGTCTTTGAATGAATAGTTTTGGTTTTTTGTTTGTTTGTTGCAATGTACAAAATTCACATGCAGTGACAGAGGGAAGCAAGAAACAATTTCAAGAGGCCCCATGGAGTACTGGGCAGGGTCAGTGTGACTGGGTCGGAAGCCCCTCCCACTACTCTGCTGAGTCACCCTGTCATAACTACAGGTCCAGGAGCTCCTCTAGGCCTGGGTCTTCACCTCTGCCTCCATGTTGGTTTCCCTCTGCTTCCTGCAGTGCCCTTCTTCTGTTTTAACACATTGTTTCTTTGTCTCACCTCATTGACTTGGTCAGAAACCAACTAATACGAAGCACCAGAAATGGATGGCTGTTTCACCCAGGTGTCCTCAGAAGCCATTGGTTTTCCTCATGTCCTGCCTGTTGATGGTTACATCTGAGGAAAGCCCATATTCCTCACAAAATAAGAGTGGCCAGGAAAACAGGATCATCTGACTCTGGTGTGCAAAGAACCTCTGAACCTCTTTTCTCAGGAAGGAGTTAAAGGTGTGACAGACACGGGCCCACTTCTCCAGTCTAAGTTTCCCCTACACCTGAATCGTTCACCGAGCACACTAGATGAGGCTGGGCTCTGAGAGGGATGGCAGGGGAGGGAGGGTGGATGTGGAAAGCCTCACCTGCTCCTCATGCTAGTCTGAGGCTGGCATAGAGTCTTGACAGACAGCGTTAATAAGGAAATAGAGGACACACAGTTAAATGTGATTTCAGACAAATTTGAGACACATTTATGTCTTGTACAATATTTGAGGCATACCTATATTAAATTTTTTCCATTGATTATAAAAACTGCACATCTAACTGGGTGACTTACATTTTATCAGGCAACCTTGTCTGAAAGAACAGGCACCAGGTCTATTTTGTTTAGTGTTACAGCTCAAATATCTACATCATGCCTGGTATGTTGTAAATATTAATAAGTTCTTATTGAAATATTTATTTGTTGAAGAAGGCTTCTCAGAGGTCACACACACACTAAGGAGACATTTCACCAGGCAAACATATCCCCAGGGGCCAGACGTGAACAAGCAAATTGACTCATTCAACCAGACTGGAGTACTCAGAAAGTGTAAAGATCTATACTAAACAGCCGGGGATGTAGCTCAGTGGTGCTGCACCTGCCTGGCAAGTGCAAGGTCCTGTGTTCTATCCCCAGTGCTGCAGAAAAAAAAGAAGAGAAAAAAGATCTATCCTAAATAAACTGGAACTCAAAAATAAACAAACTATAACTCTTGTCCTCAAAATGGTAACTGACCCATAAGACAAATAGACTTCAATAAGATAATTACGACAGACAGCTCTAAGTGCTAGGCAATTATAGGCCATAAGTGAGGAACCTGGAGACTTTGCTCACCATTATGTCTCTAAAGTTTGCAAATGGCAGATACTCAATAAATAGCAAGGGAAGGTGATAATGGAAAGATGAAGATATGAGTTATGGGGCCACACAGGTGAGATAATCAAAGGAAGCAGGATAGTAAGGAGGCTGAGTTACTCCAAGGTGAGGTCTGATCTGGGTCATAACATAGGAACATACCAGGCAGATGAAGGGGAGAGAGCATCCTGAAAGAGGAATAGAATGCACTCCAGTGAGTAGGGAACAACTCGGAGGTAAGAGAGGATGTAGAAGATGGAGAGGACAGCAAAGTCTGGATTTTCTCTTGTGGGTAACAGATGGTTGTGAAAGACTTTCAAGTACAAAGTTAGCATGAACTTTGGGAGACACCTCCAGCATGAGTGTGGAGAGAGGATGGAGGGTGGAAGAGACAGACTGGAAACCATAAGCGAAGTGAAAAACTACTAAAATAGCCCAGCCTAAAGATGATAGTGACCTCAAGATGTTGGTGGGTTAGGAAATAAACCTGCAGAGCTGGAATCCTCACTGTGAATGCTCTCTTCCGTCCTTGTCCCATTCCCCAGCCCCTGGTAAGGAGATCGCTGTTGAGATGGGGGGGGATTTAGAGGAAGGGGAGGTGGGAGGCAGCCCAAGACAAACTTTCTTCGCTTTACCATCTTGCCTGAGGAGAGCTGTATGGAGGAACTGGAGGACAGCTGACAGCCCCTGAGGCTCTCCTGTCCCAGAGCAGGAGGACTCAAGCCAGTTGGCACAGCCCGATGTCCTCTTTGGTCTACAGGCCAGACCTTACCCTCAGTGGGACCCCATAAGGCTAATGAATATGTTTTATGCTAAAGGCAGGAGGCTCAGTCTCAGGTTGTGGCCTCTCCTGCCTAGAGACAATCCAGAAACATTTTTCAGAGATCATCAAAATCTCCAGCTGAAGGACATAGAAGATCAACTAGTTCGGTCCCCAGGCCGAGGCCCCAGGATCCAATTCCTAGGCACAGTCCCCCTGCTCTCCAGATGTTTCACTGGGCATCTCATGCCTCCTCTTGCCTCCTAGACCCTGGATATGGAATTAGACTGATATGGTTCAAACACACGCAAATATGTGGCTGTACAAGTCACCTCACTTCTGTGCATCTAAGTTTCTTTGGTTAACAAATAACCTCTGTGACCATCATGAATTATATCTCATGTGAACAAACATAGGACGGTTTGCTGGGACTCCTATAACTGTCTCATTCCTTCACTCCTGCACTGTTGGGGAGTTTTGTCTGGCCCTTCCTTGACTCACTCACCACCTAATATTTTCTGGGCAACTACCATGTTCCAGCTACTTTCAAGGTGCTGGAGAAAAACAGCCCCTAGCAAAAGAGATATATTCCCAGCCATCATGGAAATTTCATTCTTCTGGCAACAATAGATATTAATTAAATGACCACATGTGTAGAAGTAAAATTATATCAGTAGTGAGCACCATGAAGGAAGGACATTCACATCAGGAAGTTAACCCAAAGACATACAAGGGTAGAGTCTGGGCTGGCACAGCTTTGGCATGGCCTGGGCCAGGGAGAAGGCTGGGAGCCTTATTTCCTGTTAACTAGTTTCCCAGATTCCAAAAACAACTGTATTCAGAATGGGGAACTAAGGTCCAATCCTGAAGCAATTTTCCCCATAGCCCATCCCTACCCCAAAATAAATAAAGCCCCTGTCAGGCTGCCTCCTAAGCGACTCTAAATAGCTTCCCCTGGAACACTGATCCTGCTTCTGCTCTGCCATGAAAGTCAGCACTGTCCTGCTGCTGGCCAGCCTAGCCTCCACCTCTCTCGCCATCCTTCATGGTGAGTGTGGCCTCCTTTCCACTCCCTGCAGCCCTCTAGAGGTCAAGATTCTTCCTTAACCTTGTGAAGTGCTGTGTGGAGGGATGGGGAGATGAAGAATGAAAAGTCCATACCTGGGATGACTTAGGGATGGAGGCAGGGAAGGAGAACATACGACCCCCGAAATCCTGCAACCCAGAAAGCCTAAGATTGGGACCAGAGGTGACAAACTGAACCCAAATCAGGGCAGACTAGGAGTCAACAGAGGTTCCCATTAGGTTATAGCTTTTGCTAATGTTGGGCAACACAATCAGAGTCACTACGCTTCTGTGGACCACTCTGCCTCCCTCTGTACAAAGAGGGTAAGTTCACACGCACACACACACACATTCAATAGTTATTTATCACACACTTACTCCAAGGCAGACACAGGCCTAAGGACTTGGGACACACGAACAGACTAAACAGAGACCTCAGTCATCACTGAGATTACAGCCTAGGAGAAATAAAAAGCAATAAACATATCAAACAAATTCACAGTGTGTTCAAAATGCTGCAAAAAAAAACAGAGGCAAGAATAAAGAGGAGGCTAGCATAGCTTTCCTCACAGTAGCCGGCCCTGTGTCCTCCAGGGTGTACTTTTCCTTGCTTTTTCCTCTTTTACTCAGCCAAACTGGCTCTGCAAAGCGAGTTTCTCTATCACTCTTCACTTTTACTTTTTGGTAAGCCAGGAGTGGTGGCACACCCTATAATCCCAGCACTTGGAAGGCTGAGTCAGGAGGATCACAGTGAGTCCAAAACCAGCCTTGGCTACCTTGTGAGTTCAAGGCCAACCTGGACTACACAGAGAGAGACCTTATCTCAAAAAGAACAACAACAAAAAGACCCTCAGAAGTAGTAAAAGATTGCCCAATAAATGATGAATTCTCCACCTGGAAAAGAAATGGAGCAAAGACAGTCCCTCCTTGGGCTTAACCCTACCTGCTGTATTAGCTGGCCAAGATCCAAGGACCTGAAACCATTTGAAGAGCATTCATGCTAGGTGGCCACTGGGAGACCATCACTTACGCCAGATGCCAACAGGTAAAGAGTTTCAGCTCACCCCAAGGCAAAGGCACTGAGAGGCTCATTGGTTCCAGGCTCCCAACATCCACGACCCCAAAACCATGAACATTTCTGGATTCTACTTTGCAGATTATCTATAGATATGGTTTGACTTCAGGCTAGCTTCCCTCAGTTTACCTGGGAGAAACCAAAGAGGGAAAATGCAAGTAGTACCTAAAATTCAGAGGAAAACAACCAATATTAATGAGCCCTTCATGTGAACCAGACAGCAGAATGGGTGTTTGCAAAATTCATCTGTTTTAACTGGAAAGGTGTATTTGCTCGGGGGAAGTAGAATTCCCAATCAACGGCATTCAAATCAAATATGTGATTTGAGGTGCTCACAGATTTGGATTGTGGGACAGGACCTCAGTCCTACTTGTACGTTAACTAGGCGATGACCCAAGCCTGGTGCCCTCCATTTGTCAAGGGACCAGATAAAGCACTGGCTAACTGCTTCTCACCCCAAGAGCTTTCTCTGCCCCTTACCTTCTCATCTCTGTGGTCACAGCTGCCCAGTTTCTTCCTACTAACCATCCCAGGAAGGACCATGTCTCCAATGAGGACCTTTCTAAGGAGCCTTCCATCATCAAAGAAGAGCTGATTTCCAAAGAGAATGTGGAGATAAAATCAACCAGACCCAAGAGTCAAAAGTCCATGCAGCCTGAACCCATCCTCCCAGAAGAGAGTCTCAGAAATGCCCATCTTCAGTCAGAAGAGATCACTGAACCCACTCCCAGGGCTGGTAAGAGACGGAAAGAGGAAAGCAGCTGGGGAGGTATTAAGAAGGAAAAAGGGAAGGGTAAAGCTACTTTGAGTGGGAAATAGGTGGGGTCAGAAGGAGAAAAAAAGCTGTGGAGGAACAAAAATTAAATGTAAATAAAGCCTGGTGTGGCGGTTCAAAACTATAATCCCAGAACTCTGGGAGGCTGGGGCAGGAGGTCTGTAAATTAGAGTCCAGACTGGGAAATTTAACAAAACTCTGTCTCAAAACAAATAGAAACAAAAATTTTAAAAGACTAGGGACGTAGTTCAGTGGCATGGCCTTGGCTCAATCCCAAGTACCACAAAAAAAGAGTAAGAGGGAGAGGGAGAGATTAATATAGATGAAATCAAATGACCCACTGATGGCCAGCTCTGTGGAAGGCTGTCACTGGAGTGCAGGGAGGTGAGAAATGAACCAGCCCTAACTTGATATTTCTCTCCCAGTATTCCCCAGCAATCACCTCAGAAGCAAAAATGACCAAGCTCAACCATAAAAGCAAGAACAATTGGGACAAAATCATGAATGGATTCATGGACAATTTGAAAAGCTAATCCCTAGTGCCAAGGATGTCATGAAGCCCTAATGACAAGGGCGCCTAAATCCCAAACTGGGCCCTGAGAGGTGCCTGCCTACCTCTGACCATCTCAACCACCATCTCTCAAATTCATGCATTAAAGAGTTGCAATCTGTGGAAGCTTTATGGGGCCCAGGACAGGAGGCAGGACACCCACCATTCTACTAGGATTCTTCTTTAGCCTCCCTTAATGCTTTAAGTTTAAACTGTCCTCCTCTTCAGTCACAGGGCTGTTTATCTCCCCACCCCAAGACATCCTTTCTGAGACCTGACCCTCCTCACCCAGCCTCCACCTCCTCCACGCAACATGCACCTCCTCACCCTATGCAGTCTGCCTTTTCCCACCCACCAGCCTGCTGCTCCTGTGCTCTCCAAATCCACAGGCAACAACAAGCCCGACGGCTGCTTCTTGGTCCCAAATCTCTGCACTGTCCTTGTAGAGCTGAGCACAGTCAACTGTTCTAGAATCTTCCCTCCCTGGCTTTCCAGCGCACTACACTTTGCTGATTCTCCTAGCACAGTTTTGAGCTGTGCATCGTATACTTCCACATACTGTAGCTTCTTGTCTTCTCTCCAACCCTCTTCCTCTATTTCTCTACACTCTCATCTTCCAGGACTACTCAGGGTACGTGGCTTCTATTTACCATTCAACTAACATCCACCAAGCATTTACCATGTGCCAGACCCATCAACCTCCTATGTGCCAATCCCCCAGCATCCCTGGGCAGCTTTCACCATCGAGGCATCTGAAACTCAATGGGGCCAGGGATTTATCTCAGTCATTGTACCACCTGCCTTGCAAGTTACCAAGTTCGATCTCTAGTAGAAAAAAAAAATGAAACTCAATGGCTAGACAAGAACATGGAGAATGAAAGTCTCTCTCCATTTTTCATTTTTCAAAGGCAGGGAAGGCTGCCCATTAAAGGGCAGGTAGGATGGTGGGAATAAAGCCATCTCTAATCTTTAAGGTTCTACCCCCAGAACACATGCAAAAGGTGCTCAGGAGACCAACAGACAACTGACCTACTGTAATGCAGAGCCAGCAATGTCCTGACCCAGGAAAATCTGGACAAGCTGTGTGCAGGATACAGATAAACAAAATATCTCCTTCCCTCCTTTGCTTTCTCCAGTATAAAAAGAGGCCACTGTCCTTTGCTTGCCTTTCCCTCCGCCAGTACAAGGATGCACAGCTCCACCAAAAACATCTCCCAAACTAGATAGAAAATTCTGAGTATCTCTCAAGCTATGGGGGAAAATATCTTTGCCAATATAACAGAGATCACAGACTTTGGGAGGAAGTTTTCTAAGAAAAGTAGATCAGAAAAGTTGAAATGTCTCAGAGATTAAGACACCCTAGATGTCCTTCTGACCCTCACTCAGTTCAGACTAACACAAAAAATGGCGCAAGGCTGGTTGTGCATTGGAGATCAAAGGGCCCACTTTAATAATGGCTGGGCAGATGCACCAGTAACTCGAAACGCAGGGCTTCCTACTACAGCTAGATAGGTGACCTCAGGCTAATAGGGCCTTCTGCTCCCCCAGTCTCCCACCTTATCCCCATCTGACTTACCGATGAACAGAGACGGAGTTGGAGAAGCCACTGCCAGACTCTTGGAACTAAGATAAGCTCCTCTCCCCTGAGGAGGGAGGAAGGAATGGAAGGGTAGGCTGGAAAGTACCCCCCACCAGCCTGCTCCTTCGTCAGGAAGGGAAAAATGGAAAAGACAGCCCCCAACTCAGGGTAGCTTTCTCTTTTCTCAATGCTTTGGCCCTAACAGGTGGCCTGTGACCTGCAACAGGTGAGGCAGGAGGGACAGAGAAGACCAGCAGGGCATCACAGCAGTCTCCCACTTTGTTGCTTGTGTCTAGATGTGTGACCATAGGACCCACTGATTTATACAGCTCCTGTCATGAGATGGGCCCCACTTCCAAATGCTCCATTCGCATTGACTCATTTAATCCTTACAAAAACAAAAGCTGTTATCCCTACTTCCAGATGAATAGCTGTCATCACTTGTCTTTGTATCCTCCTGAAATCTGTGGGATGGCCAGGTTACTGTTGGCCCCCAAGGCCAACAGTATTTGAATTGGATCTAAATAGGACACAGTTTAACTCCAAAATGGTACTGTGCCTAGACTATTTCCTCTATCCAAGCAGCTTGGTCACATTGCTCAGTACAGCTCACTTGAGGCCTACAGAATAAGCACTGCATGAAAGTATAAAGTATCAACGCAGCACCAGCAACCAAAAACAGCGCTAAATTTGAACCAAAACCCCTTCTTAATTTCAAAAATAACACAAGAACAAAAATGAAACACACCCTCTCTTTAATTCCAATTCAAAGAAATGAAAGCTCAAAAATCTTCTCCCCGTGAAAGGGATGTGTTTCCTCTGGTATCTTTAAGGTCGACTTACTCCAACCCCACATACTTTGAGGATTCCTCTTTCTTAAATGAGAGTAACTTAGGACATGTGGAATACCATGGCACCAGCTACGTACAAACAAAACCCGGAAACACAAGCATGTTCTCAGGTCCCCGGCAACTACGTGCCCAGAACCTAGGACCCAGTGTATGTATTTGTGCATGTTTCGAGGGTTTTGTCTTGTTTTATTTTAGTGAGAGGGCTAGGGAAAAACCCTTTAATGAGAGCTCGAGGTACGAGAGAATGATGTCACAGAGGACAGATACTCAGCAGAGCACCTCAAGGGAGCTTGACTCTGGCCTCCAGCCGCACAGCTGCTGCTGCTTGCAAGCCTGGCCTCAACTGTTCAGACAGCTCCCAGCAGTACACGGACCAGGGCTGTGGCTTGCTTAGGCTGTCGTACAGGAAAAGGCAAAGGCACAGCCTCCCAACGCGACAGTCTTCTGCATTTCCAGAACATGGGCAGGGGCACTTGAGCCCAGCAGGAATTGCCTTGCTACTGCCGACAGCGCTTCCCAGCAGAGACTGCACAGCGTCCGAGAGGAGAAAGAAACCCTTGACTTCACCTGGCCAAGGTGCTCTCACGTCTGTGCCAGCTCTGCAGTTCTCAGCATGGCACTTAAACACCAAGCAGGAAAAGACACCAATGAACAGGTTGCTTTGGGCATTAACCGCTGAAGTTGGAGCATGCTCACTGCCTCTTCTGCTATCTTGTGATATTTAGAGATTTAATTTATCGCTCCCATTAGCCCCAGTTTAACTCAGCTGTGCCCAAATCTGTTTCTTTCACACATGAACTCCCGCTACAGTGTGTTTCAGCTTCTCAGTCACTGTATGGCATGTTTCCTGGGTATGTTTCCTGGGGACATGGGCAATAGCCACCCCTAGAAAGATTAACTGTGTCCCTCTGAAACTTCCCTAATTTGCCCCTAACCCAAGCGACCCTCGAGTTTTGCAAGGGACTGTCTGCGGTAGTTTACCGGGTCCTGGCTCCCTCTAGCGTCCTCCTCCTGTTTCGCATCATTGTTAGATCGCTCTGGTCCCGTTCCTCCCTGATGTAGTAATAAATATTCTACTCTTTCGTCGTAGAAGTGTTTAAGCATGGAAACTTTCCTCTTTTTAAAAATATTATCTCAAATATGAGAAAATTAAAAAATGGAAATAAAGTGTTTGTAAATGGGGGGGGGGTTGAAGGGAGGGCAGGGACAAGGGGAAAAAATGAGAACCGAGACCTGTCATGTAAAGGTACACGATCCCAATAATGAATGTGACTGTACTGTGTACCTAAAATGTACCAATAAACTCAATAAAAAGAAAAATAAATAAATAAAATATTATCTCAACCCTGAGCTGTTTGAACTCAACATTCCTCCCAAGACAATCTTATCTTTTTCCAGTTCGGTCAACAGAACTGCCTTCTTGATTTCCCTTTCTGACTTTTCTCACTACAAGACCAAGACTTGTGTCTTATTTACATGGACTCATATCCCCTTGATTCCCTGGATAAATCTGACTTTTAGAGACATAAGCTTCCAGGTACGTAACATATTCCTTTCTCTCTTATCCTTTAGGTTTGTAATAATTCCGCCAAGCTTTTCTCCACTTTCATCCACAACATTTCCTCCTCCTGGAGTCCAACATAAGTCTACAGTTAGCTCCACTGTGGGCCTCTAAAATTTGCAATCTCAGTCAGAGCTTAATAAATATACAACCCCAAGCCAAACGGAGACTCTAAAAACAATCCTAGGAGCGTGTGGTCAGACCATACCTTAAATCCTTCCCAGGTCCCTGCTGTGACCCTAAATGGAGTTCAAAACAAAATAGGCAATTAGGGCCTGGCAAAGCCACCCTAGATCTGCCAACTAAAGATTAGCAGATATAATCCGAAGCTATTTCAGAGTGTGGTGCTCTATACCCACATGGAATTGGGATAATTTTATTCCAGCATCAGCTACACTTAGAAGGCGGCAGATCGGAGTTACCTCTACGCCTTTATCTGTTGAAATCCATCTTGTACAAGTTTCCCCAAGGCCGGCCTTCAAGTTCACCATTGGGCTCCAGGG